GGTGGTACAGCTGGTGCTCGACCCCAAGGCCCAAGGACACATCCCTTACCTGGCCTCCATTCCTTTTCTCTAAATTGGCTCCAGGACAACAATGCGGTTTCCATCAGCACAGGTTATGTGCACACAAATATACACAGGCACACACACATGCACACAAGCACACATGCACACCCACACACATGCACACATGCATACACACAAACACACATGCACACACATACACATGCACACACACATATACACAAGCACACATGCACACATGCATACACACACATGCACACTCATACACATGCACACACACATATACACAAGCACACATGCACACACATACACATGCACACATGCATACACACAAACACACATGCACATGCACACACACATACACACAAACACACATGCACACACATACACATGGACACTCATACATATGCACACATGCATATACCCAAGCACACGTGCACACTCACACACTCACACGCACAGGCTAATGTGGACAGAGCAGCAGGCTGTGCCTGGCTGTGTGCACTGCACACAGGTCTCCTGGTGCACACGACTTCATAGGGAATCTGCAGAATCAGTGTCTCGTGGGCACCTGCCCCCCAGGACCCCTCACCACGGCTAGACCGAGCTCCACCCATAAGACACCTGCACAGAAGGATCACCTGGAAGAGAAGGGGCCAAAAGGGAATCGGATCCCATGTCCCAGGGCCACAGCCTTGGGCAGGTTGCTTCCCTTTTCAGGTGAAAGCAGCCTCACCTGAGGACAGGTGATTGCATCAAGGGATGGGGTGTGTGGGCAGCACTGATGAGGTGGTACAACAGGTGGGTGGCATGTGGCAGGGGAGGGAAGATGGTGGTGGAGGAGGGAAGACAGTGGCATGGCTCCAGCCAGTCCCTGGGGGAGACTCAGACTACTGCCAGGCTAGATGCGTCTGTACCACCTGCACACCTGCGAAGTTGGGACACGCACAGTCCAGTGTTTCTCCACATCTTTATTTGCCAGGTCAAGTCACGGCTACAGGATGCCCGCCTGGTGCTCTGTACCTGCGCCTGCCACAAGGCCCCTCGTGGGCTGCTGGGCGGAGCCGCGGCCGGCCAGGAGGTGCGCTCGCCCTCAGCAGGGCCAGAAGGAGGGCTTGTGTGTTCAAGGTGACAGAAAGGCATTTGCTAATGAGAGGGTCACGTGTCCAGACAAACATGCCTGTCAACAGCGCACTGTTGTGGGGGGTGCTCCAGGACAGGATGGATGGAGAGACAGACAGACAGATCGGGGTGGACAGACGAATGGGTATACGGATGGACAGAAGGATGGATGGGTGGATGGATGGAGAGAGAGACAGAGAGAGATTTTTATAAGGAGTTGGCTCAGTGATTGCAGGGGCCGAGAAGTCCTGGAGCCGGCAAGCTGGAGACTTGGGAAGAGCTCCGCTTGAGTGTGAAGGCTGACAAGACCCGTGTCCCAGCTCAAGCATTCAGGCAGGAGGAATCCCCTGTCACTCACAGGAGGGTCACACTTTTTGTTCTACTCAGGCCTTCAACTGACGGGGTGAGGCGCACCCACACTGGGGAGGCTGTAGCGTCAGTCCACGACTCAGATGTTAGTCTCACCCAAAGACACCCTCGCAGGCACACCTAGAGTCACGTGTGACCAAACGTCCCGGCACACCACGCGGACTCTGACTTTGGCCCGCGGCACAGGAAGGCCGACAGGAGCCTGGTGGGGGCTCTTGCGCGCTCTTCCTGCTTTCTGGCTCCAGGCCTGCGAGCTCCTCAGCTGTTGGCTGCTCCTGGTACTGCCCGAGGACCAGGCTGCACTGCTGGGAGCAAGGCTACGGCTCCTCTCTGGAGGGCCGCTCTCCCTCCCACCGCTGCTCCCTGTGCTCCAGCCTGGGGAACCGTCTGAGCTCAGGCAGAGGTCCCGAAGTGGGAAACCTGCCTCCCCCGGGCCCACCAGAGGCAACCCTGCAGCTGCCTCCGGTGACCTTGGTTGCAAATCATTAATAATCATTTGCTCAAACAATTAACATGTTGTCCCTTGTAAAGATCTAAGGGTCTTGTGGCTTCTTCCTTCCTGGGCTGGGTCCATCTGCTCAGGCCCTGGGCTTTTCTTTGGGGGCTGATTCTGATTCCTTGAAAGGGATGAAAGGGATTTTCTCAGGCACTTTCAGAAGGAGCCAGAGGCCTCAGAGGCCTGTCCCAAGCAGCCGGACGTGCCAGTGAGGCCTCACCTGGCAAAGGACCTGGCGATGGCATTCCTGAGGTTCAGACTGACTGGGGCACACACAGAACAGCACAATATGTTGTTCCTGAGGCTGGGCTCCGCTTTCCCTTTAATTTTTTCCCTTGGAAAGAAACATCTCTTTCTTTGTGTTTGGAAGGCTCCCTTTCAGCTAATGAAGTGGTGAACCTTGCAAGAAAAAGAAGTTCATATGACTTCAGCATATGGGTTTTGGAGAGCTGGATTTTGAAGGAAATTTTTAGATATTTTTTCCCAAGTGTTTTATTTAAACTAGCTCATTAATCCTCATAATTCCGTGAGGTGGGTAGCTTCAGTATTCCCATTATACAGAAGGGGAAACCGAGGCACAGAGAGGCTAAGTCACGTTTCCAGCCATCTGGGGCCAGAGTCCAAGCCCTGACCACCGTGCCGTGTGCAATGGTGAGCTCCGACGAGCCCTCCGGCCTGCACGCGCCTGCACCTGTCCTCCACGTCTGCCTCTGTCTTCCCCAGCGACCGCCCCTTCCATTCTGTCTTCTCTCGGTGGCTGGAAATGTCAGTTGTGTCTTGTGTTCAGGCTTTCATAATACATATTTAGAAGCCATAGCCCAGTGTGCCAGTCCATTCCTAAACCACGCCAGAAGATAGCGTATATTTGCTTTTCTGGTAGAATCAAAAGAATTATTTAGTAGTCAGAGAGAAATTTTTGAAATGATCTTGACTTTCAGAGCTTGAAAAACAGACAATGAGAGGAACTGTGCATAACGAAATGGCCTTTTGGAACACGTCTTGATGGTGCACAGGAGTCTGAGGTAGAGGAAAACGGCGAGGTAAGGGCCAGCACAGCTGCCACCGTGTCCTACAAGAACATAGGAGGACAGGAGTTCTGTGTGTTCATGCTGAGTGGCACAGAGCAGTGCCCAACACGCCATGAGCTCCTGCTGTGCACGGGGCACCGAGCTGGACAGGAGAAGCACTGGGCAGGTGTGAGCACCGGGATTCCTGCCCTCTCGGAGGTCAAGGCAAGGCCAGAAGCATCAGCTCCGGGCTAGAGCCCAGGCTATGGGTCAGTCTCAGGGTTCTGGGAGGACTTACTTCAAAAAGTGGTGAGACTCTGCCCAGCTGTGCCTACATCCCTCCTGAGAGTCCCTCAGGAGGTCGGAGTTGACCGTCAGGCATGCGAGGGTCAGCCACCCCACAGCGCCTCAGGGGTCCTTGGCTGATCCAGCCGCTGGGTCCCACCCGGGAGCCGTGAATGCTTGAGGTATGAGCCCAGGAGACCTGGGGACAGAGAACGCATTGGGCAACTTGTTTGTTTCTCTTTTATTTAGAGAACAAGGGGACAATTAATATAACAACGAAAGACTAGGCCAACTAGCTGGTCGCGTCTGGCCTCCAGGACGTCTTCTAACGATGCGCTTTATTTTACACGGGCTGCCTCACAAGAAAGCAGTGGGGCCCCTCCTCCTCTCCCTGACAGTGGACGTGGCTGCTGCTCTGATTCCACCTGGGGCAGAGCTGGATTTTACGTGGACTCACACAGCTCTGCAGGCAAGTCCCAGCCTTCCCTAAACCTGCCTTTCCCACCCAGGCCCCTCTGATCTGTGTGGCCAGTCCTAGGCAAGCATCAGTGCTTTAGACCGTGCTGAGTGCATCGTCGCAGACCAAGCCCAGCGCCTGGCACCGAGCAGGTGCTCTAGGAATATCTGCTGAGAGACGGAGGAAGGAGGGAGCTCATGTGTGCTGTGCACCCAGCCAGCGTCCGCCGAGAAGAGGGTCTCATAGACTTGGGTCTTGCCAAAGTCCCTCTGATGTGCGACACGAGGCTTGTGCCCGCAATCGGCCAGCATCCCTGCCCGCTTTCCCTCTCCAGGTTAGTCGGTGACTGAGAAGGCATGAGAAGTCGGTGCCCTTTGGTTATTAGGACACAAAGATGAGAAAACCCAGGGGACTGAAGCTGGGACTGGCTTTTCCTTCTGCCTAGAAGCGTTCTCTGCGCTGCAGCTTAGGGCTCTCAGGCAGGACAAGGGGACTTGAGTCACCAGCAACAGCCGCCCGTTTGCTCCCTATGACATCCCTGCTTCCTACAGGGCAGTGCTGTGTCCAGGCAGCCTTCTGGATCTTTCTGTGGTGCCAGCTTGACCCTTTACATTCCTCTAGCTGTCCCACAACAGGAGTGACAGAGGGTAAAACCACACCACACCACACTGCACACCGCACCTCACCTCACCTCAACACACCAAGACACCGCAGCACAACACACTTCACCACATCACAACACTACACACCACAGTACACCGCACCTCACCTCCCCTCACCGCACGCACCACACCCCGCACGGCACCGCTCTCTGCTCGCAGCTCCAGCTCGGTGGCGGCTCAACGGCGTCTTACCTGTGAGCGACGCTGGGACCACCGTGCTCCCCAGAAGGCGGTGACGACGCCGTGCCCAGCTGGAGGAAGACACAGATGTTTGTTTAGACAATTTGCATCCGCTCCTTCATGCTGCTTCTTCAAACTGGATAAAAGAGAACTTTGTATAATATACACAGAAACTCCTGTTACCGGCAGAATCTTAAAATATTTATATCGCATGCAAACAATGCCAAGGAATTCCCTCAAAGCCATATATTGACTCAGTAAACACAGGGCCATTACGGAGCATTTGTCTTAGTTAATATACAACGAGTTATTGATTACAGTAGAGTGAAATCCGAAGGCAGAGATCGCAAGATCAAGACTTTTGTATACAAACTGCTGCTGGATTTGGCTTCCACCATAAGCTAGGAGATCAGCACGTTGCAGTGTTGATCCTGCGGGCCAGATGCGCGGATGTTAGGGGCCCGGGGCCTCTTGGTGCGGCTGGGATGACGGCGGCTCAGCCTGGCGTGGAATGGAGTGTCCGAGCAGCCCGTGCTGCTGGGGCCCCTGCCGTAGCCCGGGGACTGCTGTCCCCAGCCTGGGCCACCGCCAGCGCTCTGGGGAGCAAATCCCAGGACTCCTCACAGGAAGGAGCGCAGGAAACAGCGGGGTGGGGGCCCCCACCTCGGGGCAGCGCTGCGCCCCTCAGCAGCCCTCGCGTTGCAAATTCTAGTATTGTAAGAATAAAAGGAGAGCAAACAGCTTTTTTTCCACAAAACATTTGGACATTTATGAAGTGCATGTTTCATTTTAATGTCATTTATCTCTGGGAATGAAAAATAGCCCCTATCAGCCAAGATTAAACAAAACCCCAAACCTTCCAGCTCTCAAATCCAGCGTATTGGGGGCTGGTCTATGCTGCCTGCCACCTCCAGGATCTTAGACTCTGGGCGACCGGGTTCTTCGGCTGTTCATTGTGTGAAACCGGGTGGCAGGTTTTGGAGGAAAGTGGATTGACGGTGAGGTGTCTTGAGAATAACTGAGGGTTAGGAGGAGGGTCTAGTCGAATACTGTCCGTGTGACAACAGGCCCCGCTCTAATCCTGCTCCTTGGACATGATAACTTGAGCAAAGGAACCACACTTACCTTCCAGCTGGGCAGAAGGGGACAAACAGCCAGGTCTGAAGGCAGCGCACAGGAGAGACCTGATGCGATCGCGCCATCGGGGTCCGCCTCTCAGTGAAGCGAGGCCCTCAGGAGCACGTCCACACCTCAGCGGCGGGTGCTGCAGGGCGACCACGCGCACCTCCTCCCGACTCCAGCTCAGAGGCCTCGTGTTGGTGGCTTGATATCCACTGTGATGGGCCATTTACACCATGAAAATTGGCAAGTGCTACAAGTAAGGGTTCTATTCTTTTCCTTTCAGAGACCGTGTTGTTAAAAATTCACCAGCCTATGACTGCATCCAACCATCTAACTTTCCAACAGCTGAGCCTTTCACCATCCAGCACCCACTAACTCCAACCATTAAAGGAAGATGGGCCCATCTGAAAATGACCAGGTCAACCGAGGAATTGTCGACACATGCAAAGGACTTGAGCAGTGTCTGATGCAATTTTTATTATTTTTTTTTCTTCTCCGTTCACTTGCAGCTGTCTCACCCTCACCTAAATGGACGTGGCTTTTTAGTGAATTTTCTTTATGGAGTCTTTTTAAAGCATTCCACTTAGATTTCATGGACATAATGCCTCTGCTTTTACAGGCATATTCCCTCACAATGAGGCTTAACTAGTTAAATAAGGTAATTACAATAATGAGTCCAACCAGAACAAATAAGTCCGCGAGGAACACAACCTGCTCTTGGTGTGCTAAAGCTCAACGGTGGGGATAGAGCACAAGTGCCCACAAGACAGCGGTAGACTCCTGTGACGCAGGCGGGTAAGAAGCCTCCGCTGCATCGTTGGATTCTGCTCTCTGATCCGGGGATCTCGTGCCTTCTCCAGATGGCCTCAGAGCATTTTCTTAGGTTTGGGAGAATCTCACCTTCCACTGAGCCTCAGGTCTTCCAGGCCTCACAATGGGCCACAAAGCCGGAAACTTGCTGGGAGGCATTGCCTAGTCGTACCCGCGCCTGGGCAGAGCCGTCTGCTGCCAGTCCCCCTCTCCACCTCCTCTTTTAGAGCCAGTGACGTGGCCCTCACTTGTCTCTGTCTTGGTGGTCCTGTCAACCAAGGTGCCCTGCCCTCCCCAGCTGAGGGACGGGAAGACCCACGCTGGGCAGTTGGAAAGGTCTTCTCACCTTGGACTCTCAAGCTGAATGATCCCAGAGACAAAGTAAAGTTTTGAGTAGATTTATTCTGATGTCAAGACTGTCCTACGTGTGAGCCCAGGGCAGGGGTCCCAACGGAGGCTCACGCAGTATCTGCCTAAACACTGGAAAGTTTTCAACCCAGTGAACAAACTGTCCAGTAAAATATGTTCTGTCCTTCTACATTGAAAAAGAGAAACTCACAAAGACAAAATAAAAAATGTGTAAAATTATGGCTTCTATATGATGAAAATCAGCAAACTATTAAATACAACTGAATTTAATTATTATTGTGCATGTTTGGGTGTTCTGTTGATGGGCTGGTAATGTTTGATTATACAAAGCTAAAGGCACACAAAGTTCATACACTCTTACACATTTTATAAAATTTATATTTGTCTTCACTTAAAAATCACTGTTAAGAATTAGGGTTTACATGTTATTTATGTTCTTGTGACATGTAGTGATCTAAATTAAGATCAAAATAAAATGTGATTGTATTTAAGATGTCCAAATTTGGACCAAAAAAATTAAATATAAAGAAACACAAAATAAAAAATATTTTGTTTTTAAAAATATATTTCTTCTAAAATATTTAAAATTATATAGTAAAAATAGAAGAAATGCAAATTGTAGCCAATTATATCTAATTAATACCAAATTTTTTTTTTTTTTTTGTCTTTTGTCTTTTTCCGTGTCCGGCAACGGATCGCAACCCTCGGTGTTGCTCCCGCGCCTCACTCAGCCAGTGAGCGGGAGCCGGTCTGTATGTGGGATCCGAACCCTCGGGCGGGAGCGCCTCCGCGCTTCCCAAGCGGCGCACTAGCGCAGTGCGCCACCAGGCCGGCCCTAATACCAAATTTTTAAATTCAAATTTATTTAAAGCTATATTTCTAAATTTAATTTTAAAAATTTTAATTAGATCTTACTAAATATTTTATTAAATAAAATTCTTCAAAACTAACCATCTGGAATTGTACATCTGGTGGCCAAAGTACAGAATTCGTGTCCTGCCTCCCCACGCTGCACCTAGAACTGCCAACGTGAGCACCGTGGAAACCGTTCACACAGCGCAACGTTCCAGCTCCCAAGCGTGTCCTTCCGGAACCAGGAATAGGGACCCAAAGAGAAAAAGAAAATGCACTCTTGGCATTATTCAGAAGTAATCTGTTATGCAAGAATCTAGCACATTAATCTGTCTTTTCTTTTGCTAAGCTTTTTTCCATTTAAATCAATACTTCTCAGACTGTGATGAGACCAGAGTTCTCAAAATCTTATTTTCAATTTGTTGAACACTTTTGAAAAACACAGTAAAAATTGGCTAGGAATACGAGATTTAAAAATCAAAAACATACAAAATGCAACTCCCATTTTTATCATTGCGTTAATAGATATAACATTGCTTTCTTAAATATCTGGAATGGTTTCTGACAGCATGCTCTCGATTTCTGAGCTTCTCTGCTTGGACCAGTAGAAAGTGTCCCCAGGCCTTCGTCAGGCTCCATGTCCCAGGCGCCACAGCTGTGGCAGGACCACAAACCTTCACTCTGAGTGGATTCCTCCGTCACAGGGCAGGACATGCTGGTGTGGCTTTCCTGGGCCTGAGGTATGGTCATCCGTGGAGCCGGCGTCCAGGCTTTGGGCTTTGCTGGGCCAGTGCCAAGGGCCAGACGCTCAGTGACAGAGGCATTACGTTTATTCAGTACATTTACTGACTGTCTAGTGTCTGTGACCTGCAGGGCCCCCTGCCCATGTCAGCACCGTGTATGTTGAAGGTTCTCTCTGCACCACCCCCTTCCAAGCTGCACGCTCTGGCTTTCCCTTTGTTTCTAAGAAATTCATTCTCTGCTTAAGTGGACAGAATGTATTTGAGTTGCTCATCGCTGAAGAACTCTAACACACAAAGATGTACCCAAATGGGCCCGACAGATGAGGTTCTGGGGACAGCATGTCTGTGGCCCTGCCCAGGACTGGCCAAAGGAGCAAGGGACCCAGCTTCCCAGGGAGGATTGTGGAGCAGAGGCATCCGTGTGGCTACTCGACTCTCATTGAATCAATGGCAAGAAGGATTCCTCTCAAGAATGCCACACGACCGGAGAGGACGTTTCTGTCCCAGCTGCGATGTCCTCCCCTAGCACGGGGTGATCCCAAGCAGGCGTTTCATTGCACGTCACTGCTGAGCCTCACCGGGAAAGTGCAGCCTGTGCCTGCAGCCGTCCTCCTGCGCTCTGGCAGTAGTTCAAAGCGGAAAGCCAGCGTCCACGGCCCTCTCTTATGACAGACTCTTTGCATGAAAAGAAGGGATCCACTTTTACTGGTGCCTTTCGGAAGACAGGACTCTCACATTCAGGACACAGGCTGGATAGAATGTGTCTACACAGACATGTCCAATCCTAGCACCACAAATGATCTGGAAAGCGGAGCACGGAGGCCCTGAGTCCGGGCCTCTGCTTGGAAAACACAGAGCCTTTTCTCTGGAGTCATTCGACACTGATGGGAGGGGGATGTCTGTTCCCAACTTGTTTAAAACACCCCAGAGTTGATAGTGTTCATAAAGCACGTAATTAAAGAGCACGTGCCCTGCACCCATCGGGCTGGGTGTGTGCTGGCGTGAACCACGCTGCATGAGTCTTGGCCAATGTAGAGTTTTCCATTGTATTTTATGTCCTCTGGCCGCAGATGAAAACTTCTTGTCCTTTCCTTCCAACTTGTTATCAGTGGAGAAGAAAGGAGCCCCTTTCCTGTGAACCTCGATTATTTATAACCTACGAATGCCTCCTGGTTCCCCACACGCAGATGACTGAGGCAAGTCACCGTGAGTCACTTCAGCAGACCTTCACGGCGCGCCCCATCTGCACCAGGCTGGGGAGATGAGGACACACGAGTTGAGCACACATTCTGCTGATGGGCGAACCCAACAAACAAGCAGACTTTCCGATGCCATGTGGGATGGAGGAAGGGTCGCTTCAGCCTCACCGCGGGCACAGTACAACGTGGCCTCTCTGCCCCTGGCCCTGCTGGCCTCGTCCTGACTTCTTGGAGGCAGCCCTGGTTGCCAGCACCATGCTCTGGCGTTCGCAGAGGCTTTGCCTCGCTCCACCGCCTGCCCTGGCCGTGGAGACCTCTCTGTGGAGTCCTCACGTTGTCCTAAGCACAGTGACCACAGTTGTGCCATCAGCCAGGCAAGAGGCGAACCCAAGGGAGAAAGCCAGAGACCTGCTCTTCTTAAACGGCCTAAGGAGCTGAACCACGAGGAATTCTGGGGTCTCTGTGCCCCCGGTTTGTTCTTTATGGGTTAATAGAGTAAATACCTCCCCTGAGGAAGGATGTGTTTGGGAAGCTGACCTGCTCCCTGCTTTAGTGAATGATCTGTTTCCCAGACTCGCGCCCGCTGCCTGCAGGGAACCCCCCGGCTGTGAGGGGTCATGTAAGCAACGTGGGCTGCCGTTTAAACAGTCCCCGGTGTGGCATAGCCAGCACCGTTCAAAACGCCTCTGTCTTCTAAACAGAAACAGATGTTTGAAGAGGAGGTCCGTGCAGAAGCCATTCTTCAAGCCGCAGATTAAAACATCTGTCAGGAGTGGCGGCGGGCCCGGCGCAGCGCTGGCTCAGCTGGACCTGCCAGTCACACTTGTCCGGGGCGCGCTGCTGGGTGGACACGGGCCGGGAGGATGCGGAGGGTGGGTGCCCGGTGCTCTCCTAGTTACCGTTTCCCTTTCAACGTCAGGATGCAGTAAGTCCTGCTGGCCCGCCGGCTGTCGCCTGCCTGGGGTCTTCCCTGAGTGTGCTCTGTCTCCCCGGTGCCCCTTTTCACTGAGGCTTTGGACAGAGGGCACCCTCCTGGCTGGCACTGTATGTCCCTGTCATGCGTAGGATACTCTAGGAACTCTTCTTCTTCCGGGGCCTCAGTTAAAAAATTTGACCTTCTGAAAGATGGGGTGTGTGTCACCTACAAGTTGTCTCAGCTTCACATGGCAATGGGCTAAACTCTCAGAACTACAGGAAGGAGGAAACACGGTTCCTGCCCCACGGCCAGGCATGCATCCC